GTTGGGGGGAGGGCTCACACTGACCCCACCTTGGCCTGCAGCTCTCGGGCCTCACCAGCACTTTACCCGACACGGTGCTATCCCACCTCTTCAGCCAGGTAAGGGCATGGGACCACCTCACAGGAGTGGGGCTGGGGGCTGGGGTGGGGGCGGGGCCTCACAGCTGCTGTAGGGCCCAGTTCTGCCCCTCTCAGCCGGGCAGGAGGAGGGCAGGGGGTTATACGGTGTCTGACCTGCCTTGCTCTGTCCTCTGCTGTTGGCCATGAGGCTGGGCCCCTGAAAGACAGGTGTGGGGAGACCTCCCACAGCTCCGTGGAGCCTCCTCTCCCCTCCGCTCCCCGGGTCCCACCTTCCACCTTAGGGGGGTCTCCACCTGCCCCCACCCTGCCAGGAGCCCCCCCTCGGAGCCCACCTCCCCATCCTCACTCTGTCTGTCCCGTCCGCTCGGGCCCAGGAGGAGCTGATGAACAACGCGGAGCTGGTGCAGAGCTACCGGCAGCAGATCGGGAACGTGGTGAACCAGGCCAACCTGCAGCTCTTCTGGAACATGTACAACAGGTGTGGGCGCGGGGCGCAGGCCCGGGACCCCTCAGTACAGCCCCCCCGCCAGGGGCGCAGGCAGACGGGCCACACCGTCCTCAGGGTGCAGATGAGCAGAGCCAGCCTCCGAGAGGAGTCACTGCCTGCCCAGGGTCACCCCCGTGAAGGGCACAGGGAGCTGACTTCATTGCTCCTCCTCCCCGGGCATGGCTGGCGGGAGCCATGAGGATGCGGGGAAGCCCGACCCCCACACCCTGAGTCTGGCGTGTACATGGGGGGAGGTTGGATGGTTTTCATGCTGTGCTCCTTGGAGCCCCTTCGGGGGGTAGCCCTGCAGGGAAGTGGCCAAGCCCCCTACTCGCCACCTTCCCTTCTCGTCACCCTGCACGGACTTACTAAGCCAGCTGCGTGCAGGACGGGGAGGATCGGGGAGAATGGAAGACCCGCGTCCCACCGCACAGGGGCGCTCATCCAAGCAGCACTTAGTGGGGTGGGTGGGGACCAAGCTGAGGGCCCACCCGGCATGCGCTTGGGTGTCCGGGAAGAAGTTTGGGGGTCACACATGAAGGGAGCCCTGAGGCCCCGATTTATGCAGCGCAGCCCAGGCCTCCAGGGATGTGAGGCCCTAATTGGGGGGTGGGGTGGGATGGGGGAGGCTTGGGGACACCCCCATCCAGACCCTGGGGTGAGGATTTTTAAAAAAAGGTTACTTTTTCCATACATTTCCTCAAGAGTATAAACTATAACTTGCTTAACTATTATCTAAAACCAAAATTTCTGTTATCAGCAAACGACAGAACTAATTGCTCTAGCCACAAAATAAGGATTATCCTAACCACTCATCCACCAATTAGGGTAATATTTTAACGTTTAAACCAGCCCTGTTTTAACCAAAAATGACACTTATGTTCAGTTGGCGAGGTTTTAATGAAAGTCACATTTCAAAAACATCGTGTCCGTCAGGAGCCACCAGCTTTTCGTCCCTAAAAACAAAAACTTCATTTTTCAGGACCCAAAGGATTTCTTTCTTCCAAAGAAATGACCAAGAATTTTCAGCTCTCCTCTCAATTCCAACACGTACACATTTTGTTAACTGTAGACCAGGCCCCGCCACCCCACACTGGACAGCATATGCGCACTGTAGGCAGATGGCCCCCCGAACACGGGCAGACGGTGCGACCGACAATGTGGGTCCCACGTTTAACAAAACAGGCTTTGGCTCCCTGTGACCAGCATCACCAGGGCTTCCTTGTCTGTAGCCGCAAAGAAACAAGATGTTCTATTGAAGATGTTTAGTCCTCAGTTTTGTAACAGCAGTCTTTCCAACGACATATTAAAAGGGGAGAAAACCAGTGATACGGCCCGGCCGGCGTGGCTCAGTGGCTGAAAGCCCTCGGCCTATGAACCAGGAGGTCCCAGTTCGATTCCCAGTCAGGGCACATGCCTCTGTTATGGACTCGATCCCCAGTAGGGGGCGTGCAGGAGGGGGTTGATCTGTGATTCTCTCTCATCATTGGTTTCTCTATCTCTCCCTCTCCCTTCCTCTCTGAAATCAATAAAAATATACTTAAAAAAAAAAAAAGAACACAGTGATATAGGCATAGATTCAAAATAAACCCACAAATTTTGAAAGCTCCCAGGAGGGCAGGCTGAGCCAGGCAGCAGCTGGCAGCGGAGCCACACAGGTCCCCAGCTGTCCAGGTTGGGTCATCGGTGGCATCTTGAAGCTGTCACAGAGCGTGTCCTCCTCAGACCCTCCCCACCCCCTGTGAGAGAGACAGGCAGGGCCAGAATTCCGCAGCCTGATGAGTGGGTGGGGAGTTCGGGGTTCCCTGCCCCCGTCCCGCTCCCCCAAGCCCTGTCTTCCTTTCCCGGCAGCTTATCTTCCCCGACCTGGTGGAGGGGCTGGTGCTGATGAACATCGACCCCAACGGCAAAGGCTGGATCGACTGGGCCGCCACCAAGGTGAGTGTGGTCCCCCTGGTGGGGTGGGGGTGGGGCGGCG